TCACCCGACATAAAAAGAATTATTTATTTCGAAATTTTATTACTATTTTTTAACTAAATTTGTTTCTTAAGATGCAGTCTATGATTATAAATATTTTCTCGTATTTGAAAAACACACTTACTTTGGTGGGATTCGAACTCGGAACCTCTGGATCGTGAGCCAACTGCCTTACGTGGTAGACTACTTCTTAATTTGATGTAAGCGTTATATATAGTCTACACATGTCATAACCAGCGCAAATATATAATTTTTCAAAAATTATCTTAAGAAACAAATTCAGTTTAAAAAGAGTAATAAAATTTGAATTAGATATATGATATAATATTTCTCAATGTCGGGTGAATGTCAGAAACCAGTGCCGGTTTTCGTGGAATCACTCATCTCATCACACAAAACAGACGGAAACCATAAAATAGCGGCTATCAATTGACGAAGCGGATGCACTCCAACTGTCATCGCTCATTAAATGGTAAATGACGAAATCTTCCAGAAGACTCGAACCTAATAAAATAAGCAAATTATAGACTTGTTTGTCGCATTCCATCTAATTCCACGAAATGAAGCACGAAATTTCAATTATCTCAAAATTTTGTGACAAAGGGCGCAACAAATTAAAAACGCCATAAGGATCTGGGTGACGGGAGGGCTGATCTCACGCTTTTCCGTGAAACGCAGGTTTGACCTAAGACCCACGCCTCGCGGCGATTGATAAAATTAAGACTCTGGAAGGGACTGTTAAAGGGCAAGATGATAACGTACTCGCCAATGAATAGCCGCTAATTAAAAATTGCTCATAGGCAATGACGATTTTTGGGGAAACTCGCCACGGGATAGGCGGAAAATTGAAACATACGTCACGATCAGAAGAGAACTCCACCCAATCAAATCGGATTAAAACATAATCCCGCCTCCTTAATTTTGTATAAAAATTGCGACTTTGCGCACTTGGAGTCACTTCTGATCCAGTCCGAGACGTCTTAAAATTATATTTACCAGCCGTACTTGTCAACTATCATCCAGCTGTATTCCTCAAGTGAAACCAGATTTCTGACGCGTCGCGAGTCGATTCTGTGCGCGTCAAGACGCATCACAGAACCGAGCCAAACCTACCTCCGGAAGAATCCGCCGCAGTCACCTCAGAGACTCCCCGATCACAGCCGTCAACAGTAAGTCCGAGATACCCGCTCGGTTATCTACATACATCCCTACAGTATACATATATATGTGTGAATACCATACACGAGAACACGTATAAGTATAAAATCATCTTTAAAACTCCCTCTTTTTTTCGATTTCAAAATTATAAAATAATTTTAGTGAAGTCGAAAATCCACCGCCGCAAGTCTTTGGGAATAACTATCCGCAATCGGTTAATTCGGAACAGGCGCGCCCGCATAGTGGAGCGACAGCTCCTAGCTTCATTTCTAAGACGCGAACGGTCTCCGCATATCGAACTCGCTATCCCCGATTTTCCCTCTTCCCGATCTCCCTCATCTGCCTGTTGTTTCCTTGCGTATCGGGTGTTCCCCGATACCCCAGAATCTTCCCCTTTTTTTGAACTTTCCTACTCTCCAGTTCCTTCCGAGGAACTTGCGGAGTTCCGGGAGAGATCACCCTGCAACTTCTCCCCTGTTCCTTTCGACGGAATTCCTTCCCCCTCTAGTTCCACCACCCTCTATCGTGACCGATCACCCTCTCCCTCCTTTTCCGACTCGAGTATCGAAGTACTCGAGGAATCCTCCCCGCGTTCCCCATCCCCTACTATAGAAATAGTATATAAATGTATAAATTTATAACTAATCGCTAATCAACCATTGTATCGTAATCATAGCCCCTTACGCAATCATGAATTTATAACTATTTTTCTAAAATAAATTTAAATATTTTATTCCGATAACTATGTTACCAAATTAATGTTTGAACCCTCGTTTTTATATATTCACACATACATAGTCAACACTTATTCTTCACAATCTACTCACCAAATGTATCGTTGACGAGCAGAATATCGATCTTTATAAAAATCCTCCTCGATCTTCCGAATTTGTACCAGGACAAATGTCAATCCACACACACACACACACACACACACACACACACACACACACCACATTTCCACGTATTATTATATACAATAATGATTCTTTAACTTGTAAAAATATTTGTTCTATTCCTTTTACAATAAATGTTCTAATTATTTGATTAAAATAAACTCAATGTTTATCCATTTATAAATAAAACCTCACCCCTCACTACCTCTCTAAATCGTACAAGGTCCGATCCCCGGTAATAGGGATATTATCCTTGACCGAAAACAAGACCGCGAGTGCACGAAAACTCTCAGTAGGCGTGCGTCCCTTCTGGACGTTGACCCACGACTAGAGTTTTTTCGAAAAATGCATTCGACTCGAGGCACGCGCCCTTCCAGCGTGAACCCGAGATACCATAGAGATCTCGTTACGTCTTCCTTTACCCCCTCCCTCGGATAGCCTTTCTTTCGCTATCCGTCGAACCAATGTACCTAAATTCCGGGGTTCTGACGTAACAGCTCTTTAAATCCTAAAAACTTTTAGAAACTAGAGATTTCTTACACGATGTAATTAACTTATTTACTCAATTAGAAGTTGGAAAAAAAGAGAATTGGAAACCATTTCAAGCTGCAGTTATATTATCAACATCTACAGTTTTAGACTTGAGTTTGATTTTTATAAACGAACAAAAGTAGCCATACTATAGGGGATTTAAAACCGGGCGCACTTGACGGCGGGTCGGGGGCAAGAAGCGGAACGCGTGGAGGCCGCCGTAAGCGGTGGGCGAGGGGATGGCGTCGACAGACGGGAGCCGCCCCGCCGCTGCTTTTCTAACCCGGGTTAGTGGGGGGCAGCGAGGGGCGCCACCACTTTCGCGCTGCGCGGCACGAGGGGGCGGGCCACTCCGAATTTCCCCTCTAGGTCAATTGCGGTTATCTCTCAAAGCTATTTCCAGAGTTATCTGCTGCCCTATTGGCATCCGCCGAGCGATAAGCGCGAGCCAACGCGAATCCTCGCGCAATTGTATCGTCAGTTTGAAGTTTGCGAAGGTTATATTTTAATAATAATTACTGAAATCTACATTGCAATAATCGTACGGACAGAAACAATTTCAACAACGTACGCGACATTTCGTCGTGTCGTCGTCGGAGATCGTTTTCGTTTGCGTGATCGCGGTTATCTCTCAAAGCTATTTCCAGAGTTATCTGCTGCCCTATTGACATTCGTCGTGCGATAAGCGCGAGCCAACGTGAATCCTCGTGCAATTTTATATCCCGCTAAACATCGTCGTCGTCGGAGATCGTCTCTCCGTTTCTTCACGTTGCCGATACGCGCGAGACGTGTGATCGCGGTTATTTGTCAAAGTTATTCCAGGAAACGCTGCGTGGTTATTTGCTGGCCTATTGATCCCGTACATCCGCCGTTGAAATCGTTATCGGGGTTCGCCCGGGTTCTCGCGGGCGCTATATAAGCGCGAGAGAACGCTAATCCTCGCGCAATTAGATTGTCAGTTTGAAGTGTGTGAGGATTAAATATAAAAAAAAAATGTCGGAGGAAGATCGCGATCTCATCGTATTCGCCACAGGCCTCGACTCGTCGGACGCGTATCGCGAGTAAGAACGACGGTGCGAAGAGCGTCTCGCGTCTCTGCGAGAGAGATGATGAGAAAAAACCCGCCCGACGTACACCGGAACGTTGAACTCTCTTATCGTTCGAGTGGCGCGATTGGAAGGAGCGAGAAACGCTCTGCGTCAACGTTTCCCGCAGGTGGGCGCCGGTCACTGCGAACCGAGCAGAGGATTTTCGTGGACGGAGATAGAGACGGCTTTCGAAAGTCGCGTACTGACCGGTGCGGTTATAAACTCGAATCACGTCGATCCTCGATTATTTTTCAAGGACGCGAGGCGCACGGTGCTCGAACAAGTGCGCGTCAATCACGATATGCGAGAATGGTACGACAGATACATGATCGATGCCACTCTGGCGGGTCTGGATGAGTTTCAGGAACGCGACAGTGGCTGGGCATTGTCGCGTATATTGAACCTGATCGTGAACGTGAACAAGTGCAATCCCATGCACGCCGGATGTTGGTTTGAAATACCGCAATGGATAAAGGTGAAGAGAGCGGTGATCAACGTGCATTCAGACGACAACGCGTGTTTCGCGTGGGCGGTAATCTCCGCTCTGTATCCCGCTCTGCGGCACGTGGATCGATGCGGGTCGTATCCCTATTACGCGACGATGCTGAATTTGGAAGGGATCGAGTTTCCTATGACTCTGAGGCAAATTTCGAGGTTCGAACGACTCAACGACATGTCCGTCAACGTTTTCACCACTTGGCGGAGGGGACGAAACGACGAGACCGTTTCTTTACAGCTGACCAACGATAAGAAGAACAGTCATGTCAATCTGTTGTATCTGTCAGATTCGCGAAACAACTCGAACGGCGGTCATTTCGCGTGTATAAAGAATCTGTCGCGATTATTGGGGTCTCAGTTAAACAGGAGCAAGAACGTGAAGTACATATGCGATCGGTAAGTATAAAAAAAAAGAGTGCGATGTATGTGGAATGAAAAAATCGTACATATTTTTTTTTCAGATGCTTACACTACTTTCATTCGAGAGAGAAATTGTCCGACTGCGGAAAGATGAACGACTGCGCCATCGTTCTTCCGAACGACGACAAATGGTTGTTTTTTCGCGATCACAGTAGGAAGGAGCGACTTCCCTTCGTGGTCTACGCCGATCTGGAATGCGTGTTGGAGAAAGAAAAGATAGACAACGATAACGTCAAGAGATACGCATATCAGCATCACAGAGCGTTTAGCGTGGGATACTACCTGTGCAGCCCGTACCGAGATTGAACCCGGGTACAGATTTTGTCGCGGCGAGGACTGCGTGTCGTTGTTCGTCAACGAGCTCAACGTTATCGCGCATCGCGCGAAGGAGATACTCATGACGAACGTGACCATGGCGGAGCTCACGTTGGACGAGACACGAAAGCGCGACGAGCTGCCACATATGTGAGAGACCGTTCGAATCGGAGGACGGTCAACGCGTGCGCGATCACTGCCACTTGACCGGACGTTACAGAGGTCTCGCGCATCCGCGTTGCAATCTAAATTATAGAGACTCGTACGTTATTCCTGTGTTCTTTCACAATCTGTCCGGTTACGATGCCCACTTTATTATCAAGGATATCGCCAACAGCTTCGAGGGTAGAATCGATCTATTACCATTCACCAAAGAGTCGTACATATCGTTCACGAAAAATGTGAGTGAAGGCGTTAACTGGGGAAACTGCGCGAAATTGCGATTCGTGGATTCGTTCAAATTTCTCAGCACCAGTCTCGAGAAATTGGCGTCGTATATCGATAAAGACAAACTGAAAATCATGCGTTCGGAATTTTCAGAACTGAGCGAAAGCGATTTCGACCTGCTCACGCGTAAAGGTGTATTTCCGTACGAGTACGTCGACGGCTTCGATAAGTTGCTGGTGACGGAATTACCGCCCCGCGAGGACTTTTACAGTTCGTTGACCGGTGAGACCGCGAGCGAGAGCAATTACGAGCACGCGCGGAACGTCTGGCGTTGTTTTCGCGTGAGAAATCTCGGCGAGTATAGCGATCTGTATCTCAAAACGGACGTGCTTCTCCTAGCGGATATCTTCGAAAATTTTCGCGACACCTGTATCGACACTTACAGACTGGATCCCGCGCATTACTACATCCTACCGGGATACACGTGGGACGCAATGCTGAAGTACACGGGGGTGCGATTCGAATTGCTCACCGATATTGACATGGTAATGTTCGTGGAGCGCGGTATCCGCGGCGGTCTGAGTCAATGCTCCAACAGGTACGCGCGAGCCAACAACAAATACATGCGATCGCACGACTCTTCGCAACCGTCGACGTATCTCATGAACTTCGACGTGAACAATCTGTACGGTTGGGCGATGTGCAAACCGTTGCCGTACGCGGACTTTCAATGGGTCGACGACGCGGAGAGTCTCGACGTAATGTCCGTGAAGTTGGACTCCGCTATCGGTTACATCTTGAAGGTCGATCTTGCGTACCCGCATGAACTCCACGACGCCCACGCTAACCTTCCGTTCTGCCCGACGCGCGATAAGCCTCCCGGAAAACGGTGCAATAAACTCCTCGCCACTCTGCGCGAGAAGTCGCGCTACGTGCTGCATTACCGTAATCTACAGCAATGCGTGCGATACAGATTGTGCGTCACGAAGATTCACCGCGCGCTTCGATTCGCGCAATCTCCGTGGCTTCGGAGATACATAGAGCTTAATACGGGATTCAGAGCTCGCGCTAGCAACGATTTTGAGAAAGAAATGTACAAATTAATGAACAATGCGGTATTCGGCAAGACCATGGAAAACGTACGAGATCACGTAGACGTGCGTCTCGTGACGCGTTGAGATGGGAGATACGGCGTGGAGGCGAAGATCGCGAAACCAAATTTTCACAGTCGAACCGTCTTCGCGGAGAATCTGATCGCCGTCGAGTTGCGCAGGCTCGAGGTGAGGTTGAACAAACCCATCTACGTCGGTATGTGCATTCTCGAGATATCCAAGACGCGCGTCTACGATTTTCATTACGATTACATGGTGCCGCTGCATCGCGAAAGGTGTAAGATAATGTACACGGACACCGACAATCTCATATATTTTCTCGAGTGCGACGACGCGTACGAGGATATGAAACGCGACATCGCGAGATTCGACACGAGCGGCTATCCCGAGGACAACGCGTATCGCATGCCGCGCGTCAACAAGAAGATACCCGGTTTGATGAAGGACGAGAACGACGGCGCGGTGATGACGGAATTCGTTGGACTGAGGTCGAAAATGTACGCCTTGAGGGTCGAGGGAAAGAGCGACACGAAAAAAATAAAGGGCATCAAGAGAAACGTGGTCGCGAGAACGATAACGTTCGACGATTACGTGTGTTGTCTGAACGACGCGATAAGGCAGTTTAGGCGTCAGTCGTGTATTCGTTCGACTGCACACGAGGTGCACACCGTGTCCGAGTTGAAACTCGCTCTCAGCCCGTACGACGACAAGCGATACGTCGTTCCCGACTCGTACGACACTCTACCGTGGGGGCATTACAAGATACCGCCGTGAAGAGGACCTTTTTTTCTTATTAAGATTATATTTTTTTTAAACAGTAAAGAGTATAAGAGTACAATGGATTTTATGGGTTAGATTTATAAGCGCAATCGTGGGAAGACAGGAATGTTTAAACTGTCTAGTCTTACAAACGTTAATTTTTATATAGAAAAGATAGCACTCTACAGCCCTTTTTTTCCTCTGCGTAGGGAGCTACAAATATTAAGAAGGAAAGAAATATCTCTATCACTATTAAGAGATACATATATTTTTAAGTTTACATTTAGACGAAACAAAAAAAATACATTATTGTAACTACAACACGGCTGTCTCATTTCTATAATACAATTAAAAAAAAGCGTTACAGAATATCGAGACGCGCGCGACGTTCCACCCACCAATCGTGTAACTTGCACACGTTCTCCATGGCGCAGTTCTTCGCGTGGCGTCCGCAGAGGAAAGATCGGATCGCACTGAGGGTCTCCAGTCGATCAATGTTTTCGTATTCGACGTCCATCGACTCGATCTTAACGTTGAATTCACCGACGGCGTCGCCGAGAATCTCCTCCAACCATCCTTTCTTTTCAGTGCCTTTCACGTAAACGAGTTTGAGCGTCTCGCAGTTCAGCCCATCGCACACGGCGTTTCGGATGATCGTTCTCGCCCGAACGTAATTCACGTCTCCATCGTTCCATTTGAAACCATGATGATTCGTCGTCAACCAGCACGCCCGCGATTTTTCCGCTCTCGATAGAAGATCCCACGACAATGGCGCGCGAAACACGTGGTGAATCAGTTCCTTTCCGTCTCTGAACACGGCTACTTCTTTAACTGTGAACTTTTCGCGGATAACGAATCCCTGCAGATCCACGAATATCGGTACGTCGCGGTCGGCGGACATCGTCTCTCTGTACGGTCAGTCGCTACCCCCACTCTGTTTAAACCTGTAGCTTATCGCGATTTCGTCAGACGAATAGATACGTTTTTCTTCTTCTTCTTCTGTTTTCCTTTACACGATCTTGCGGACTATGTTAGTTAGCGGATTGTACTCGATCACGCAATCGTGGATGATGAGACAGTAGGCCGTAGTATTGGAATCTATATTACGTTTGCAATTGAACTCTATGCGAACGTCTACGGTGGCGCTTTTAACGGATTTGTTCTGACGAGAACAGTCGATGACCACGAACGGGCCCCATTTGTCGAATTCTTTCATCGTTAGGAGCGCGTTCTCTCGCTCGCATCCGTAATACGACTTTCGAAATTTCGCGTACATCTTGTACAGTATGGCCGTTCTACGCTTCTCAAAATCCAAGTTCATATCGTCGTAGGGATAAAAATCTGAATTAAGGTACAGTTTCACATTGGTGAGATTACCGTCGTCGAACTCGGAGGCGTGTTTCAATAAGTTGTTGGACCTCCCGGTTTGTAGCGCGAAAATGACGTATCGCGGTTTCTCAAGCTGCGTCGCTGCTTTCACAGCCCACGAATGCCTGTTCGTGGTTTGGAGCAAAGAGTGCTCGTACAGATCCCACGAGCGAAAGCCCATACTTAGGTATCGTCCGCTCTCCAACGTTCGTAAAAGGAACAATTTATTGACGTCGTTCAGCACCACGTGCGGCATTCGCCATTGCACTTTCAACAGAGTAAGCGTAGGATTCTTGTGACGTTCCGGTTTCGTGACGATGCAATTAGCGTCAGTTCGGGCACGTATCAGAATGAGTTCGTGTCGCGCGTTTATCACCACGTGTTTGTAATCCTCGCAAAAACCTAGCAGAACGTTAAGGGGTACGCAGAAATTGAAATCGCCGATTCTAGTTCTTGAACGAGGTCCCACGTATTCATTGATCACAATCCATCCAGCGTTTTGCAGCTTCCTGCTTCTCTCGGTGGTCAGCGACACGAAATTCTTGATCGAACTGGTTATTCCGACGTTTCTGTTCCTGTCGATCTCCACGCCGTTGAGTTCGTATCGAATCTCGTCGAACATGAACGCCACGCAATTGTTGTCCATCGTCGTATCCGAATCCTTTTCCGGAACGCCGTCGGAGAGTACTCCCTCGATGTACAGAAAACTTTCGCAGGGTAGAGTGTACAGATCCTGCTGTTGTATCGGAATTCGTATTCGTCGCTGTGCCCGAACGTGGTATTGGCATATGGATTGTGTGTGTTTCGATTTTGACGATGCGATCGTCGAAGATCGGCTCACCTCCGATACTCAAAATGTCGGTCATAATCGTTCTTCACGACGAATCCCAGAGATCGTAGAAAAGCGACGTTCGCAGCGCTCAGTCCGTTTTTCTTCTTCTTCTTCTCTCTTACAATCGGTCTGCGCGTTCCTTTCGTCGGAGCGCCGAACGATAACGTTCGCGATGCAATGACGGATGCGGCTCTTGCGAACGAGTCGTTCAAAACGAGCATCTTTCGCGCACGCACATATTCGCCCCCGATTTTGTATTTTTATTTTATTTTCTGCGACGCACGTGTAGTCGAACCGTTATCTCCTCCCCGCGGAAGTCAATCAATCGTCCGATCTAATCCACGACGCGTAACGTTATATCGGTGACACGCGCGATGACCGGAAGGTAAATGATCTGCATCGGAGTCTCCGACAGCTTATATCCCGGTGGAACGTTCGGCACAAATTCGTGTATCGTGTGTGCCGGCTTGCCGTTGCTGTAGGCTCCCGCGGTGACGTTGCATTCCACGCGAATGATATTCACGCGCATAATATTCACCAGTTTGTCGGACGCGTGCCATTTATTCGGCTCGAGTACGCGACGTGTCGAGAAACCTAACAAAGAGCCAACGTTGTTCGATTTGGTGAAGTCAACTCTATAGGTACACTTGATCTCGCTTCTCATAGTGTTTTCGTTAGCGCGTAAAATTATCGAGCGTTCGCTTTTCTCGCGGTCGTCATCGTTATCGTCCACGTATATGTAATCGTCTTTCTTCTTCGTACTTTTTTTGCGGAGGATAGCTGTTCTCAGGTATCTATCTATAGCGTCCAGTTCGTACGATCCTTCGGGAATAGCGATCACGTCGTTGTTGTCAAAGTAAAATCTATTGTTCGTGAAGTCAATGTTCGGTATCGTGTTGTACGTCTCGAAATTCGCGAGGCCTATCTCGTATTCGCCGCCGCTCAGATCCAGAGCGGGAAAGTAGCCGGCTGAGAGGACGCTGCTTCTTCCGGATAGCGAGAGAGTCAGCGACATAGCGAGATTGTTTCTCCCTCTCTCATGGTCAGAAACGTTTCCAGTCGACGTCTCGGAGGAACCGCAAACACAATTGACCGCAGATGCTATGATCGAACGTCTGATACGAACGACGGTTGTACACGATATTCACGTCACTCCCGAGATATCGTTCGAGTTCCCTCGGGGGTCAAAGATTTCCAAAACTGTCAAAGTAGATCGCGTTGTTGCCCCTCTTCGCATAGGCGACCCAGTGCGTACCCGGGCCCTCCGCGTCGTCGAGATTCACGATTCCGCTCTCGTCGCGACGCACTTTCGTCGGCAACGCGTCGCGCATAAACACGCCCCTAAAGAAAGGTATGCGCGAAAGGCGCGCGGACCGATTCAATTGCTCGTTCGTTGTGACGCCGAACGTCGGCAAATTGAGCGTCATCAGTGTCTTTTTCGGCGATTATTTTTTTTTACCCGTTCTCGTTCGTCTTCTGCTCGTCACGCCACTACCGCGTTTGTACGGCGCGAGATACAGTCCGCGACCCTCCAACGCCCGATTGTGACGATGCAGTTCCTCGAGCTGACGTTGAGCGGCCTTGTTGTCGTTCACCGCCTTGGCCACGCCAGCCGCTCCATCGATCAGGGATCCGAGCGCTCCCAATATCGGTAGAAAGAGTAGGAGACCCCCGCGTTTCGCCAACGGGAGAATTTTCTTCCTCGTTACCGCTCCCCTCTTCATCTTTCTCATACCCATGCCCAATTTCGTTTTTGTTTTCATAGCAGCCCATACGGCGGTTGCGGCGGCTCTCTCGCCAATGGTTGTGTCGCTCGCCGTGATACGCTCGCGCGCCTTTTCGGCTAGCGCTCGATCGGCGACGTGTCGATCTGCGAGATTACCGCTTTGCGAGTAAGCGATATCGTGCTCGCGACACGCCTCGTCCAACGGATTGATACCTCGATCACCGCGCGCTAGTCGCTTGGCGAGACGAGTACCCGGTCCGCAGAATTGATAGCCGGGTATGTGTAATTCGACGGGTAGCGCATTTATCGCTCTGTTGAGGAGGCCGCTGCCAGTGCTTCGCGCCGCTGCGCGCGACATGCACCGCAATCCCTTATGAGCGATGGTAGACCGTCTATGTGCGTTCTCTACCACGGACGATTGTAATGTCTCAAACACGGATGACAGTCCCGTACGTCGGGATCCGTCCTCAGATGAACGGGCAATTTGTCCCACAGTCGATCGACGTACTCGGAAAAGTTGCGCAGCAGAAAAATCTTCAGCACGAATTTCAGTTGCTCGGCGGACAGACCGAGAATATCGCGTTTATCCGCCAGGACGAGAAACATCGCGGTAACTGAGGGCGTATACCGATCGAACGTACGTATAAATAGGGCAAGTGTGCGCGCACGCGCGTAACAATGCGATTCGTGAGACAACCGTCGGCGATAGGAGTGTCGAATCTCGATTGCAAGACGCGACTGACGTCGGGTTTAACGTCGAGAGAAATGCGTCGACACGGCCCTCTTTTACCGATCGCAATACGTTACGTCATCTGCGGCCCTTCCAATTGCGGTAAGACGAACGTGTTGATAAGCTTACTGGAAAGTCCGCACGGTCTGTGTTTCGAAAACGTATACGTGTACTCGAAATCTCTCCATCAGCCGAAGTATCGTTACCTCAAGAGTCTGCTCGAATCGATGAATGAGATCGGTTATCGCGCGTTCTCCAATAATCGCGACGTCGTGCCGCCGAGCGAGGCGCTCCCCGGTTCGATATTCGTGTTCGACGACGTGGCCTGTGACAAACAGGACGCAATCAGGGAGTACTTC